GAGTTTTTCAATCCTAATACTACGGTCCGATTTTGGATTTTGTCAGAATCAGAATTAATCTGGTACCGCAGCTGAATGTAAACAAACAGGCCAGTCTGGTTCCCTCTCCTGCTTTACCTCGTATGTGTAGAGAACTACGGTAACACTGATTATCAAAAATCCTTACGCTAATGAACTATGTTCTTTGACTTATGAAGTTTTCAAAGTCATTACTACTAATGTTAATTTTATATAGATAAAACTTCGTTTTATTTTTGTTGCTTTATTTAGCGTTTGTGTTATCTCAAAAGCGGTTGAGAGTAAGAGCAAACATCTATAAATTGTAGCACGTCAAAGTACAGAACAAGAAACATATTGACGCAAGCGTCAAAAATCGGCCGCAAACCAATTTATTTAATTGTTGAAGTTCCTTTCAGAAACTGAAATTTGTGTGATCTGTTTTTTAGCTCACCTGAGCCAAAGGCTCAAGTGAGCTTTTCTGATCACAATTTGTCCGTTGTCTGTCGTTGTCGTCGTCGTTGTTGTAAACTTTTCACATTTTTATCTTCTTCTTAATAACCACTGGGTCAGGAAAGATGAAACTCATGTGGAATCATCCTCAGGTAGTGTAGATTCAACTTTGTTCAAATCATGACCCCAGGGGGTAGGGTGGGGCCATAATGGCCGATCAAAGTTTTACATAGGAATATATAGGGAAAATCTTTAAAAATCTTCTTCTCAAGAACCACTAGGCCAGGAAAGATGAAACTCATGTGGAATCATCTCCAGGTAGTGTAGATTCAACTTTGTTCAAATCATGGCCCCAGGGGGTAGGGTGGGGCCCAAATGGCCAATCAAAGTTTTACATAGGAATGTATTGGAAAAATCTTTAAAAATCTGCTTCTCAAGAACCACTGGGCCAGGAAAGATGAAACTCATGTGGAATCATCTCCAGGTAGTGTAGATTCAACTTTGTTCAAATCATGGCCCCAGGGGGTAGGGTGGGGCCCAAATGGCCGATCAAAGTTTTACATAGGAATATATTGGAAAAATCTTTAAAAAAATCTGCTTCTCAAGAACCACTGGGCTGAAAGGCATCATTGCAGTTCAAGTAAATTTTCAAACTCTAACATTTTCAGTGAAAGTATTTTTAATGTTACTTATCATTTCCCATAAAAATTGAAATAAAATTTCTTTAAACTATTTTCTTTACAGAAATATTCACATGTTCACATTTTTTTTGCCCTCTTTGTGCATTAACGACTCAAATGTTTCTTGAATTTTAGAATGGGAATTGTTCGTAAAAGTTGGTTTTAGTTATCAGTAACTGATTAATTTTTGTTCACAATTCATGAATTCTAAATTTCACATTTTTTTGAATTGTTACGTTTACTAACTTGGCTCTGGGAAAGGCTTTTTGAAATCATCCGTCCTAGAGTCCTTCCATTCACACAGTCTCTCCAGAGCTGGTCTGGTTCCCATGACGATGTGCTCGCTCATTCCCTTCAACATCTTGTGAGCCATGGCGATGTCGTACTAAACTCGGTTAGTGTTGATAGACTCCAGGTCTGACATAGATCTGGCTATATTGTAGGCTTTACTGAAATACTCTGCGGCCTAAGGAGTGATCATGATCATTTTTTAAGTGGGTTACTTATAAAATTTATAGGGATGTCAATTTTATTTGGACAGCTAATTCGAATAGTCGGATGTTATTATAGTCGAACAATAGTCGAATATTCATTTAATTTAAATTAAATTTTCATATCATTTTCTCTGTTTGCCTTTTACAGACTAGTTTACAATATTTAACCTACGCTATTACCATTATACAATGAATTTTTGTACATGTATTGTAAACATGTACATACATGTAGTACAATTAATCAAAGTACTCAGAAGTACAGAGAGCCGGGCTCATTTACAGAGTAGAAGGGATTTCTTACATGAATCACGTTTATATTCTGATAAAAAAATATTTTAAAACTATCAATGTAAATGATAAGACACTGACGGGGAGTTTTTCAATCCTAATACTACGGTCCGATTTTGGATTTTGTCAGAATCAGAATTAATCTGGTACCGCAGCTGAATGTAAACAAACAGGCCAGTCTGGTTCCCTCTCCTGCTTTACCTCGTATGTGTAGAGAACTACGGTAACACTGATTATCAAAAATCCTTACGCTAATGAACTATGTTCTTTGACTTATGAAGTTTTCAAAGTCATTACTACTAATGTTAATTTTATATAGATAAAACTTCGTTTTATTTTTGTTGCTTTATTTAGCGTTTGTGTTATCTCAAAAGCGGTTGAGAGTAAGAACTATATTTTTGCACGTAACTTTAAAATGGCGACTATGGGGTTAACATCCTGCCTTGAACAGGATCGCATAAGCCGGCAATTGCTCTTTGAGCAATAAGCCCGGCTAAAAACTGTACAACAATATGTATATCCAATGTATTTAATTTCAAAATTATTATATTAGCTGCACATTTTATCTAAATGCAAGATATCAAACGCTCATATGTATGTCCTCTTTTTTTACATAACGGTAGTACATGTACCTCGTAATTGAAGCCATTTCTATGTGTCATCGGGTTCACAGGTGTGTGAATGTCAGTCAATATATCGGGTCTCAATAGCTCAGTTGGTTAGAGCGCTGGCACGGTACGCCAGAAGCCCTGGGTTCGAGTCCCGGTTGAGACTTGATTTTTCACCACCTGTGACATTTGGCGCCCAACGTACAAAACCCACTGTTCCCTTGGAATATGCTTCACGCTTTTCCTTAACTCATAGAATTCGAGGACGAATTTCTACGAAGAGGGGGAATATGTCACCGGGTTCACAGGTGCGAGAAAGTCAGTCAATAAATCGGGTCTCAATAGCTCAGTTGGTTAGAGCGCTGGCACGATACGCCAGAGGCCCTGGGTTCAAGTCCCGGTTGAGACTTGATTTTTTTACCACCTGTGACATACATGTCTGTCTGTCAATGATCTTTGACAGGTAAACTATTAAAGTGTGTCTCTTCTAAAAACAAAGAGAGGGCAAGAGCTTTAATTTGGGATAAATTTTAACTATGAAATTTTGTGCAAACAATTAATACATGTACCAGAAAAAGAAAAGATGCATGGTTTAATTTCTATCATAACTGACCTCAATTTACATGTTTCAATTTTGAAATAGCTGTTTAATTAATATTCTTTCTAAATAGTTATATCACGTCACATCTTAGTTTGAATCTGCAAAGCTAAACAACTGCCCTTTCCATTTAAAACAGTAAGAGGTAGACCAAGGTCCATCCACCAGCAGTGCGAACAAGACTGACGCAGATGTCAACAAAGACACTTTGAGGCCTGGACCCTCCTGGAGGATGGTAATGGGTCGGGAAGAACCCCCACCCCTCAGGCCACTGCCCCCATGTAGCCCCCTCCTGATGCCCAGCTGATCTATCCCACAGGTAAATATTTTTTAAATACCCCCCAGTACACTATTACTCCTTTTACTGTGTCAAATTTACAATCATTGTTTGGAATACATGCCTGCAACAGATGCTGGGGATGGGTTTCCATAATGAGGGAGGCTGGTTACAGCGCCTCCTGGAGGAGAAAGAGGGCAACATCAGCCAAGTGGTGTTGGATGCCATTCAGAACAGGGCAAAGGTCACCCCTGATGGAAGCTACATGGCTTGAAGAAGGAAATAAATGAAAAGGGACAGAACTTTTCACTAGAAATACTTGATGTGTTTAATATTTCACAAATTTATGTAGATTGTCTTAACAATAGAGGCACATGTATGTTGTATTGATATCAATACTTAATTAACTTTTAAAAACTTTTTTAAAATTACTTTTTAAGTGATCAGAATGATGATGCAATTTTGAAATTCTGTTATTCTGCTTTTTTTCTCTTTAAGAATGCACTGGGTACATGTATTATGAACTTGTTGCAAATTATTATATATGGACTATGAAAGTGGTAATTGATATAAGCAATATTGTTTATATTGATATATCAGATACAAAAGGTAGCTAAATTAATATTTGTTATATTTTTCAATTATTTACATTGTTTAACTGTAGTAAGTGCAGGTTGGTCATATAACTGACACAGAAGCATTGTAAATTGAGTCACATAAACTTTTTCCTAAATAAATAATCCTATCTAATGACCTTTTTTCTGTGTTAAAAAATGAGGACTGAAGGTTTTATCCCCAGAAAATGCTCTACTAGGATATGATTATCTTAGCTCACCTGAGTTGAAAGCTCATGTGAGCTTTTCTGATCACCCTCCGTCTGTCTAGATGTCCATCCATCTGTTTGTCTGTCAACTTCTCACATTTTCAACTTCTTCTCAAGAACCCTTGGGCTAATTTTAACCAAACTAGGCACAAAGCATGTTTGGGTGAAGGGGAGTTTAATATATTGTAAAAATGAAGGGCCAAGTCCCCTTACAAGGGGAGATAATTATTATAATAAGAAAAAACAAAAAAAGAGTGGAGGCATTAAAATATCTTTTCAAGAACCACTAAGCCAGAAAAGCTGAAACTTATGTGGAGGCATGCTTTGGTAGTGTAGATTCTTATTTGTAAAAATCATTACCCCATGGGGTAGAGCGAGGCCACAATAGGGAATCCAAGTTTTTCATTGAAGTTTATTAGGAAAAATCTTCTCAGGAAGTTGGCATGGGCAATCAGCTCATCTTATCCCCCCAGATTCTGTTTGTGGGGAATTGTCAGCTATGAACAGTATAAAGGTTTCATAGGCATTAAATTTTGTTGTTTCAGAAATAACCCAATTCCATACATAGTTATTTAAAATTATCAAGTTTATTTAATTTCATTGAAATACATGTACCGGAATACAAAATTAACTCCCAAAAGAATATTTCTGCTTTTACTGTATCCCACACCTATTATAAACAATTTCCAGAAATCAGTTACTGGGTAATGAGATACTGTTCACAACATCAAACTGTAGCAGCAGCTGAATGCCTTTAATATGTTGCGTTCATTGCAAAGTCGTGTAATTAGTAAGTATTTATTTCCAATTTTGGGCCCGGAAGGCATACAAAAGCATAAGTAACAAAATACAGAGTGAAATTGCTAAATGATATTCAAAAAATTAATGAACATGAATTATGATTGAGTTACACCAAGAGCAAAGAGGAATTCTTCCCACTTACACTGACATTTTTAAAATAAATTTGCAAATACAGTCAAATCTGTATTAAGCAGCCACCTACCACATGTACATGAATTGTTAATTTGTTATATAATAAACAGACAAGTCACTGTCAGGATGCCTCCACATTTTACATAGTTAGAAATCAGCACTTTATATGTCATAGACTATAATCTTCTATAATCTGTAATTCTAACAGTAAGTGTCTATTTAAGAGCATCATTTACATCAATATTTTCAGTATCCACCAACAAATAAGGATTTCCTCTGGGTGCATCACTTGGCTCACTGCAAGGTTGATGCAAAATGGCCTTAACTGGAGCTGATTTATTTGCTTGTTTGTCTTGAGAGCTATGGAGGCTATGGTATCCCTCTTCATCACAATAGTTAGCAGATGAGGTTGACAATTCCGTATTTTCTGTCAGTGATTCTTTGCCTTCCATATTTTTGTTATCTGTGGGTTGCTTCCTATTCTTAAGAATAGTGAGGATTGCTAAAAAAATAAATGCGATGCTTAAAATAGCAATGGGAATGATCATGTAATATTTAGTTTTATCGTCTTCTGTACATGTATTCCCATTGCATGTTTCAAGTCTATTTTCTAGATCTTTTTTACTTTCATAAAGGCTCTCCCAGGTCTGAATGCCTCCGTGCTGATAAAAACATTGTCTATACTTGAAACTGTCTCTTGAATCATACTTTCCAGGACACGGTTCATCAAAATCCCTACAATATCCACTTTGGTGACTCTGTAATGTTCCTTTACCAGAATTATATTCTACACAGTAACCTGCAACTTCAATGTTTTTGAAACATCCTATCCAGGTTTCATTTCCCCATTCGTTGACCACCAAATGAGGCTCGAGTTCATTGCATGAGGAGGTACAGTAGGTCCGATACTTCTCCAGGCTGTCAGGTAAGTAATGAACCTGTTTGATCAAATATTCTTTGCATTTAAATTGTGGGCAATTGACCAATCCTGGTAATAGAACTGAGATAATTAGTATCAATGGTTCCATGCCTCTGTAATAAAAAAATAAAAGCTGAGAAATATTTGACAATACATGTGCATTGTGCACAAGATCTTTGCAGCAGCTCCATCAGGTTTAGATCAGTTGCCTATTTGGAATTCAATATCCCAAATGTGACTTTAAATGAAAAGTGCAAAAATTTCCATACATAAACACCATGGAAGTGCAGAGAGAATGTACGTATTACCTATCTATTATGATTACACCAGAGAGAGATTATTACGTCAGGGCAAAACTCTCTCAGACGTAATCCTAATAAGTGAAACATTCTCCATGCACTTCCATTGCCTTTACCTAAGGAAATTTTAACTAGCAGACTGGAATGCTGTTTAAGGTGAAATTGTGGGATTCTTATGAGATTCAGAGTCAATCCAATAGCATGGACTAAGACAGAAATATATCTAGAGACAGTGTGAATTGACACTTAAGGTTGAAATAAATAAATATAATGTTTTAAACCCATAAATACCAGTGGGGGTACAACGTAAACAAACCTGAGTGGCATACCTTTCTCTCTTATAATCTATAGTGGGGTATTTTTTGTGGAGCGATTATTATGGGGTTTTAATGATTTTTTAGCTCACCTGAGCCGAAGGCTCAAGTGAGCTTTTCTGATCACATTTTGTCCGGCGTCCGTCTGTCTGTCTGTCAATAAACTTTTCACATTTTCGACTTCTTCTCAAGAACCACTGGGCCAATTTCAACCAAACTTGCCACAAAGCATCCTTGGGTGAAGGGGATTCAAGTTTGTTCAAATGAAGGGCCACGCCCTTATTCAAGGGGAGATAATTGGGAATTAATGAAAATTTGGTGGCATGTTTTAAAAATCTTCTTCTCAAGAACCACTGTGCCAGGAAAGATGAAACTTATGGGGTAACACCCTCAGGTAGTGTAGATTCAAGTTTGTTCAAATCATGACCCCCGGGGGTAGGGCAGGGCCAAAATGGCCGACCAAAGTTTTACATAGAAATATATAGGAAAATTCTTTAAAAATCTTCTTCTCAAGAACCACTGTGCCAGAAAAGATGAAAGTTATGGGGTAACACCCTCAGGTAGTGTAGAATCAAATTTGTTCAAATCATGACCCCTGGGGGTAGGGCGGGGCCAAGATGGCTGACTAAAGTTTTACATAGAAATATATAGGAAAATTCTTTAAAAATCTCCTTCTCAAGAATGACAGAGCCAAAATTCATCAAATTTATATGGAAGCATCCTCAAGTAGTGAAGATTCAAGTTTGTTCAAATCATGACCCCCGGGGATAGGGCGGGGCCAAAATGGCCGATCAAAGTTTTACATAGAAATATATAGGAAAATTCTTTAAAAATCTTCTTCTCAAGAATGACAGAGCCATAATTCATCATATTTATATGGAAGCATGCTCAGGTAGTGTAGATTCAAGTTTGTTCAAATCATGACCCCAGGGGGTAGGGCGGGGCCAAAATGGCCGACCAAAGTTTTACATAGAAATATATTGGAAAATTCTTTAAAAATCTTCTTCTCAAGAACCACTTAGCCAGGAAAGATAAAACTTATGGGGTAACATCCTCAGGTAGTGTAGATTCAAGTTTGTTCAAATCATGACCCCCAGGGTTAGGGCGAGGCCAAAATGGCCGACCAAAGTTTTACATAGAAACATATTGGAAAATTCTTTAAAAATCTTCTTCTCAAGAACCACTGTGCCAGGAAAGATAAAACTTATGGGGTAAAATCCTCAGGTATTGTAGATTCAAGTTTGTTCAAATCATGACCCCCGGGGGTAGGGCGGGGCCAACATGGCCGACCAAAGTTTTACATAGAAATATATAGGAAAATTCTTTAAAAATCTTCTTCTCAAGAACCACTGTGCCAGAAAAGATGAAAGTTATGGGGTAACACCCTCAGGTAGTGTAGAATCAAATTTGTTCAAATCATGACCCCCGGGAGTAGGGCGGGGCCAAAATGGCCGACCAAAGTTTTACATAGAAGTATATAGGAAAATTCTTTAAAAATCTTCTTTCAAGAATGACAAAGGCATAATTCATCATATTTATATGGAAGCATCCTCAGATAGTGTAGATTCAAATTGTTCAAATCATGACCCCCGGAGGTAGGGCGGGGCCAAGATGGCTGACTAAAGTTTCACATAGAAATATATAGGAAAATTCATTGAAGAATAGCAAAATCCATGATTGATCATGGGATTACTTTTGGATTTTAACTTTTCAGTAATAAACCTATTTCTACTTTTTCATAGCTACAGTACTCAGGTGAGCGATGTGGCCCATGGGCCTCTTGTTTCCTATTGCGCTTATGATGAATAAGTGTAATAAATATAATTTGTAAAAAAAAAATGTCCAACAAGTCCTGGGGTTGAATATTTAGGGATAGGGGAGGGTCCTGTCAAAGTAACTGTTAAAAATTTTCCAAATCGACGGTACTTTCTATCAATTCAATCACAGGCACCTGACATTACTTATTTTTCTTTTAATAAAAAAAATATACCCATACCTAATAGTAAACAATTCAAAAAGATGATCAAAAAGAAACAAAATCTTTACAACCAAGCAAGAAGAACAGGGTCATGGACAAATTACAAACACCATCAAAAAGAATGTGAAAGACAAATTAGGAACTTTAGTAGAATGGAACTACATAAATACAGCAATCCTAGCGAGGCATGGATAAGAACAACTTGAAACCATTCTGGAAATATGTCAAATCACGCAAACAGGATAACATCGGAGTAGCACCCCTAAAAGATAAAGGGCATTTAATCAACGACGGCAAAGAAAAAACAAAAATCCTTTTAAGACAATTTTCATCAGTCTTCACAAAGGAAAAAATAAAAGTAATGCCCTCTACAAACATCAACCTCAAATCAGGAATAAGAAGAATAATCATCAGGGAAGAAGGCGTGGTAAAACTGCTGAAAAACATCAATCCATCAAAAGCAGCCGGACCAGATAACATCCCAAACAGAGTCCTGAAACAATGTGCAGACCAAATAGCACCATTATTGTCGATTATATACCAAGACTCTCTAGACACTGGGAAACTGTCAAAAGACTGGCTCAGCGCAAACAATTATCGTGTATCTACAAAAAAGGTGATAGACATGCAGCTGAAAACTAGACCAGTCTCCTTAACATCAGTACCTTGCAAGCTACTAGAGGCGTGAGCATATTATATGTCGACAAATGATGAAACATTTGGAAAGCAATAAAATATTAACATCCTCGAACCATGGCTTCAGGTCTGGATATTCATGCGAAACGCAACTAGCTATTACCATACATGTTACAATCCTACGATTAGGGCCACCAAGTAGACGTAGCGATCCTGGATTTCTCCAAAACATTCGACACTGTCCCCCATGATAGACTCCTGCACAAACTCAATCAATACGGGATAAGAGGAGACATCCATAATTGGTTAACAAATTTCCTTACAAAAAGGACAATGAGAGTCCAGTAAGAAGGGGAATACTCAGTCGACACCAGTGTGGAATCCGGGGTTCTGCAGGGAACAGTACTTGGGCCTATACTTTTTCTCCGTCACATAAATGATCTTCCTGATGCAGTAAAATCTTCAGTTAGGCTCTTTGCCGACAATTGTCTTTTGTACAGGGAAATTAAATCGTCTAAAGCTTAAAACCTATTACAAAAGGATCTCGAAAAACTGGAACAGTGGGCATCAGACTGGGGTTTCCATGAGATTCAATGCAAAGAAATGCTATATATCAAGCATAAGTAAAAAGATAAACAGCCAATACACCCTTGAGAACCACACCCTAGAACAAGTGGCATCAAATCCCTACTTAGGACTCCAAATACAAGAAGACCTGAAATGGAAAGAACATATAAACAACATCTCAAACAAAGCCAACTCCACCTTAGGCTTCCTAAGAAGGAACTTGCAACAATGTCCAAGGGAATGTAGAAAGATTGCATATATAGCACTAGTAAGATCCATAATGGAGTATGGAGCTGTCATCTGGGATCCATACACCAAACAAGAAACAACAAAACTAGAATCCATACAAAGAAGAGGTGCGAGATTCATAACAAAAGATTATAAATCAAGGGAAGAGGGCACAATGACAAAGATGCTCAAAGAACTTGACCTTCCTTTATTAGAAACCAGACGCCAACAACAACGTCTAATCTTTTTCTACAAAGTGGTTGAGGGGCAGATACCAGCCATTAAACCCGATCAATACATCACATTCCAAAAACAGAAAAGAAACATCAGACCCAAAGTGTATGAAGATTATCAAGCAACAAATATTATATATAGCAGGATAAGAAATAACAGCAGAGCAGTAGAAATACCAGACGCAAAGACAGACCAACTCAAGAACTCGTTCTTTATATATACGCACTGCGCTAGATTGGAACCATCTGGAAGAAGAAGTCGTCCGCGCTCTCAAGCTAGAAAGCTTTAAGTCAGCTTTGGAACATCAGCACGACTAAACGCACCCTCTCTCCGTCACAGCCCTACGGGTTACTGTGATGTACCAATACTGATACAGATACAAAGTACCCATCGAGACCGCCATCTTGGATTTTAGCTGTTTAGAGGGATTTGTAATATTTGCAAGGGTGATGCGCCCTTTCTGGTTGCACTGGCCGTACGTTTAGACCTTGAAAGACTGGAAACAGAAAGAATATGGTTACTGGGAATTTATTTTACGGAGCTTCAGACGAAAATACAAGTGAACCAAGATGGCGGTGGGTAACTTGTTTATTATTGGTATAGGTATGTTTTATTAAAAGAAAAATAAGTAACGTCAGGTGCCTGTAAATTCAATGCACATGTTATTGAATATTACAAACTGACATGATACATTATAGGCCTAATCACTGAATCAAGCTTGAAAAAAATATTCCGTCAGACAAACTGTGTTCTCCTATTTTCTTTAGTTTAGAAACTACATGTACAGCTTAGAAGTTAGATGAACCATTAACCACTCACATTGCAAACACATATACAGCCAAACAAGCTCTACGATTGTTCTTTACGGTGTTATATAGATACAACTGCCGACTCCTATGCTCTTACTCTGAGGGGATTGAGCGACATGTTTGCTTTTCGAGGACATGTTAGAGAGACCGGATGTTCATCATGCTGTCTAAATTGAAAAAAAAAAATCCGGAAAAAGGCATAATTTTTCTTCTTTCTTTCTTCAGAGACATATAAAACCATATATGTCTCTGCTTTCTTTTTTCTTTTTCTAGTATTAAATATTTGAAAGTCAACTCTCTTTTTATAACTTACGAAAAATCAATTCAATTTAATTAAAACTAGGGACACGTACCGGTAAAAAAGCATAGGGGCTTGTCTTCCGGATTGATAAATGTAAAATGTTTTTTTTTTAATTTGTATCTACATTAAATACACTCTAAAAGTTGCTTTATAATAAAGATTTTAAAAAAAAGTACTACACCTATATACATAAACTCTCATGTATATAGGTGTAGTACTTTTTTTTAACATTATTTTTCTCGCCTGATCATGTCAGAATCTTTATTAAAGCAACTTTTAGAGTGTATTTAATGTAGATACAAATTAAAAAAAAAATATTTTACATTTATCAATCCGGAAGACAAGCCCCTATGATTAAGAGGTAATGGATTTTGCTTCCGAGTTCTGACAAGGTTGCAAAATTTAATCTCTTACTACATTATAACATATACTTTCACATTTCATTTTGGAGTAAAAATCACGCAAACATATAATGACAAACAGACAGAGAGGAAAAAAACAATATACGCCCTTATCTATCGATCAGGGTGCATAAAAAATATCCAAGAAATTGTTATCAAACTTCATATGTTGATATTACTGATGTCAGAGCTCTATTCAACTGCATTTTTTACCTTGACTTCACTTTTAATTCTTAAATCAGTGTTTAAGTTTCAAAGAAATCATTCAAGATATTTTCATCTGCAAACTTCTTATGTTGATACATGCCGATGCTATTTGACTGCATCAACATTTTTAACTTGACCTTTCTTTTGACATTAAGATCACTTTTCCTATATATAGTAATGTAAGCAATTCAACTGAATCAATGCTTTTGATTAATCAAATTTTCTTAAAGTCAGTTTTAAAGGAAATTCATATTAATAATTTTTCAACTTGATAAACTAATACATACTGATGAGAGTTTTATGTTGCATTACTAATATACCCTGGATGGGGCATTAAATTTAAAATTATATCTCCTATATATATCTTGCATCCCCTATTACATTATCTTTTAAAAGCCCTTTTCTGGATGAATACAGAAAAAGTACAAATTGACAAACAAAAGTATACATAATGTATTTAATGATGGATTTACAGAACAAAAATATACAATCAACATTATGTATAGAGAATGACAATCAGAAGAATGGAATGCAAACAACAATGTGCCTCAATATTTCCATAGACTATCAATATAGATATAAAGGCACAGTACATATATATGATCTTGTTCTGTTACTTCTGTAACAAAATTCAGTATGCATTAAGCATATTTCAATAATCATAAAATATCACAGAATTTATTTTCTTTTCTCTTTGAGGGAAATAAGTAGCATATCACTCAAATTTAAGTAAAGAGTTATCTCCCTGTAGCTAGATCTTTTTTCCCTCTATGCTGTCTCATCCTTTACTTCAGCTGTCTCTCCTTTTTCAGATGTGGATTTTTCAGATTCCTGTGGCCCCTCTTCGGGAGCTGGTGGTGCAGAAGGCTCCTCAGGTTCTATAAAACAGAATTCATACACAATTTTAAAAATATACATTTTAGCTCCCTGCAACATATTTATAAAAATAGATTGCATAGTGTGTGATTGTGTACTATTTATTGATTTTGTTTGCTGTTTTGCATTTGTTAATACAGATTATTTACTTGTACAAGTATTATGAACTTAAATGCATTACTGCACCAGTGTATAAATCATAACTTTTCAACTACCTTTCAAATCGCCAAAATTTAAATAAGAGTATCATAAACTTCCTAGATTTACATAGAAAAAAACTTGTAATAGCCTAATTTAATGATGCATTTAAATTTATCAACTTTGTTTAAAATTTGACTTTTACATACTTGGCTCTGGGAAAGGCTTTTTGAAATCATCCGTCCTAGAATCCTTCCATTCACAAAGTCTCTCCAGAGCTGGTCTGGTTCCCATGACGATGTGCTCGCTCAATCCCTTCAACATTTTGTGAGCCATGGCGATGCCATACTGGACTCGATTTGTGTTGATAGACTCCAGGTCTGACATAGATCTGGCTATGTTGTAGGCCTTACTGAAATATTCTGTGGCCTCATCATAGCGACCCTGAAATTTAAAGAGTTAAACACTATACTGTAAGGAGTGATCATGGTTTTAAATTTTTTAAGTAGATCACTTATAAAATTAGCATGCTTTTGATAAAAAAGAATATAGTAAATTACTGTAAACCAACTTTTATTTGCAGGTGAGAAATATCCAGGAGTTTCGCAACTTACTGTAACTTGTAAATATTAATCACCATTAACCATTTAATAATTAAGCTTTGTATTTATAGAGAATGTTTCCTCTGTTGCGAAAATTAATAGTCGCAGATCGATTTCAAACTGACAAATTGCAAATATAAGATGACATGAATGATAGTTGGCTTACAGTATTATTTATCTATACTTGTATTTACCAGGGAGTTGAATATGTTCCCCAGGTTATGACAAGCTTTGCTGAGACCTTTCTCCTCCCCACTTTGTTCTGTTACTTCCACAAACTTCTTCAAATAATCTATACTTTTTTCTAATTTGCCTTGTCTGAAAATAAACATGTTTTTATCATGTATAACCAGGATTTTCAAAGAAAAAAATGAGATTATTTTATATCATTTGCTAAATTGAAAACAAATGTATGAAAAATGTATCCTAGTACAAATAAATACAACAATGTAATTTCAAAAGTGTTTTCATTTTCTGTTGAAAACTTCATAAACCTTCTCCATAATTTTTATTGAATTTTTTTTCCCCAACACATGAATATCTTTTTTCTTGAATTAATAATTTCTTGAATATCTATGGACAAAATGTTTACCTTGCATAAGATTTGGCAATGGCATC